AAAACATCGTTAGTCATTTTGGGGAGTTTGAGCAGGACTTTGGCAAGAAAATGATAGCAGTATGTTCCCATATCTAAGGGGCTGCCACAAACAAAGGGGAGGGGAGGGGTTTCCACCTATTCTCCAAAGCACTTGAAGACAAGAAGCAATGGGTGGAAATTAATCAAGGAGAGAAGCAACCTAGAACTAAGGAGAAATTTCCTGACAGTCAGAACAATTAATCAGTGGAACAACTCCAGATGTTGTGAATGCTCCAACACTGGATGTTTTAAAGAAGATGTTGACTAACCATTTCGAGACCGCCTGCTGAAACATACCTCCCAGCGGACAGTAAGATGCCATAGATTGGGCCTCCTTCAGATGCCGTCGGCCAAACAATGTCAGCTGGCGGGCCCTCGGAGGAGAGCCTTCTCGGTGGCTGCTCCGACTCTTTGGAACCAGCTCCCCCCCGGAAATCCGGACCACTCCCACTCTGATGGCCTTCAGGAAAGCCATAAAAGCAGGAGATGCCGGGCTGTTGAGCTCACTGTTGAGGTCCGGCCCCGACTAGAATGAATGTATGAGGGGTGTCTGTTGTTTTAAATTGTTTTGTCGTTATGTGTTTTTTTTATATTTCTTGTAAGCCGCCCGGAGTGCTTCGGGATTGGGCGGCATATAAAAACTACAAATAAATAAATTAATAAATAAATAGCTCACTGGAGCTATGATTTAAAAAATGTGATACAGCTGTCCTTGGCCTTGGGTGCAAAATGATCAGAATTATAGAGGCAAATTATAGAGGCAAGAGATAAGGCTTACTTCCTACAGTAAACACACCCTTCGGTTATGCATCATACTGTCATCTGTATTGTTTTCTTGGGAATGTTAAAGAAGTGGTTTCTCACATCCTTTTTTCAGAATATTTTCTTTGGTTCAAACTTGTGCCAACAACCCTGCAATTCCTAAAGGATCCCAAACCAAAAATATGAATCAGACTGTCTCTGTTTAGCTTCCAAGCTCAGCCAACATTGGCTAGATGCTGCCATCTGTTGATTCTGTCAAGCTTCTTCCAATGAACTCCCTATGTCTGCATTTTGAATACAAATTCAGTCAGTATCAAGCCAGGTCTTTGCCTTCTATTGACCATTCTGAAAGACATTCTTTCCCAGCATCCTGGATTGTTTGCTGTGCCTTTGACACTAACATTTGTTCCTTTGTTCTCACAGATTTGGGAAACATTCCTATGATGAGATCTCCATCTTGGCTCCTCTTAAACAGTGTTGCATGTAAGTACTTGCCTTTCCACATCAGCCTAGTTGAATGGAAAGGCTACATGTTGTGGCCTGGAGAGCTAGCAAGCAAGCAATAATCTGTTTTGCCTAACTATGCTAAATGAGACAAGCCAAATTCAAGACATCCAAGTTGTTGGAACATGAAGCAATCACCAAAGGATTTCCCCCAACTTCTTTTTATCTGCTAGATTCACCATCTAGAAAGTGAGAAGGAGTCCTTTAGAACCAGGAAAAAAGGGTCTCACACCTTAGACAATGCTGCATTTGTTCACAATCTTGTGTGTGTGAGAGAGTGTTTCTGTTTTCTAAACATCTAGCACCTTTGACAAAATTATTTTGCAGTTATTATAGTCCAGCGTCATTTGCTACAAGATGCGCAGCAAATACATTAAATAAACAAACAATTTTCTAAATTATCTCCAACTCAGTGAATTCTGAGCTGTGTGCAATCACCAAGACTTCATTGCCTTACTGGATATACACCCCTTCTTCCCTTTCAGATCTGCTATTCATCAAAGCACAAGGAAATTGAAGCATTCATTTTGATCCCTGTCAAGAACATTAAGACTCTATCGGCTTCTAAAAGGAACCAAAACTTCATCCATTTCTTTTGTGTCCCCCTGCAGTCACTTTGGGGTATAGGATTTACTCATAAATAGCAGTGCCTGTGTCCTCTCCAGGTTATTCTTTTATTAATTCATATAAATCAACAGCTAGACCTTCAAGAGGTTGGGCAAAGAGTTATTCATTCTCTGGGTTTCTTTCTCCAGCATAGCTAACCAATTTCCATTCTATCCCCTCTAAATTTCTACAGAAGCCAATGGCAAAAGCATCATCTGAAGCCATATAGATATATAGAGCCCCAGGTCTGGTTTCAAGAGTTGTTCATTACTCACACCTTGCAAATCCATCTGGTTTATAATTATAGAGCTGCCACTAAATCTTTTACACGTCCCTCAAGTTCGCATGCTCTAAATTGGCTTTTGCCCCCTCCTTCCCTGAAAGGATCACATTTTCTTTGCCAAAATCTTTTCCTAGCTCAGTATAGTATTTTAAAAAGGATAATAGGGGTGATTACATTGAATCCTTTATAAGCATTAAAACTGCTAATGGTTATAGTCAATTTTTGCCCTTTAAAAACTATGATGCAAGCATTGTGAATTTCCCTTGCTGTGTGACAGATAATAGGTAGGGAAGTGATTTTGCTTCAATTTAGTCAAGCTTCTATACTGGCTGTGTAGTCTTAATTTTAATATTGCTAGCTCTTTCTCAAGTTCCAGCTCCTAAACTGATATTATTGGCAAAGTACCAATGTTGGGCCATGCTTCTCCTTACATCCAACAATATATATCTCAGTACATTCTTTTGTTTATTTGTTTGCTTGTTTGTTCTGGAAAAACTCCTAGAGTAGGGGTTGATTTGGGGTGATGTTTTTCTGACCTTGAGAATTCAGATCAAGCTTTTTTACATGACCAACAGATATTGTAAGATGTTTATTCTATGTCACAACATTTCCAACATTTAGAATAGAATAGAATCGAATAGAATGGAATAGAATAGAATTCTTTATTGACCAAGTGATTGGACACAAGGAATTTGTCTTTAATGCATATGCTCTCAGTGTAGGTAAAAGGACAAGATAGATTCGTCAAGAATCACAAGGTACAACACAATGATAGTCATAGGGTACAAATAAGCAATCAGGAAACAATCAATATAAATATAAATAGTAAGGATACAATCCACAAAGTTGCAGTTCTGCAGTCATAAGTGGGAGGAGATGGGCGATAGAAACGATGAGAAGACTAATAGTAATAGTAATGCAGCCTTAGTGAATAGTTTGACAGTGGTGAGGAAATTATTTATTTAGCTGAGTGATGGCATTCAGGGAAAAACTGTCTCGTGTGTGTAGTTGTCTTGGTGTGCAGTGCTCTGTAGCATCATTTAATTTATTATTATTTATAATAATTTATTATTATTCATCTCTTTTTTTTGCAATTATGGATAGGTCACATGCAATGAGAGGGAATGCACTGATTTTTACTAATTATTTTCCAGCATTTATACTTATATTTTGTGATTCTTCTACTTTTTCATAAGATCACATGTAATTATTTCAGATAATGACAAATAGTGTGGATATTAATATAAATAATCTAAATCAATGGATATTTAGAGTTCTGCACTGATTTTTAAATTTCTATTTATTTACTAATATTTTACCTTCCATCCACTGTGTTCATTCTCATTTTCCTTTTTCCATTGTGTTATCATTTATTTTATTTTTCAAATATGTCAAAATGGGGAAATATGAAACAGGCCGATAGGGAACGGGCCGAGCAGCATCCAACAGAGAACAGACCTTTTATTATTATCAGAATAAAAACCAAGAAAAGTAACCAATAACTCCTTGCCTTCGTAATCAAGGCAGAGGACTGGGCTTCTTTAGATTTGGCCTTTCCAGAAAAAAAAACCTCAAGGCTTCTGCAAATAGCACAGGTTAGGAGCTTGCAAGGGTGTCAAGTGCTTTGTTGAGCTATAAATTGAACACATCAAGGTTTCAAATATGAATAAGAATGCTTAGATCTTGATGGATTTTTTTCATAAACAGATTGATTCAAAACTATCTTTCCTTTCCTTTAGAATCAAGAAGCTCACCTTGTTACGGCTGCAGCTTTTAGCCAAACCAGACTACAAACTGAGTGATATCATGAGGGAGTCCCTCCTTCAAGACCGCCTTGCCCCCGTGTTGACTGAAGCCCACCTTCTGGCATTGGACAGAAGGTTACAGATTATCCTGAAAACTGTGGAGAAATGCATAGAGGCCTTTGGAGAAGACACTGTTTTAGCTGACGCAAAGCCTTTGGAACCTGTGGCTTTTGACAGAATGACACAGCCAAGCTAGAGTCAAAGGAGGGTGGGGGAAACTAGAACCTGAACTTGAAATGATTGTTCTTCCTTAATCTGGACACGGGAGGAAGGCAATCCACGGCAGAATTGGGAAACCACTGGGTGGTTGAAACCGGCAGCTTTGGCCTCAAATTTATAGATGGGAATCGCATACACATCGCAGCTACACAATCTTCCTGCCTCTTTTCCAAGAGATTGAAGATACACCAATTTCTGTAACGACCAAACTATGTCTTTCTCGGGATTTGCCTGGGTTCACCATGGCTAGGATTGGTGGGTTGAATAAAGAAACGGAGAGGCACTAAAGAAACATTTCCAGAATGCATCCACACTGAGATTTAGGACAATATTAATAAGGTGGGCCTGTACCTCCTCAGGGATGTTTAGTTTATGGAGAACTGTAGTAGAAACTGTAATAGAACTGTAGAAGCAGCCCTTGGCAAAAGCAAGCCATGAAAATGTGCTGATGTGGCAGACATTCTGGCTCTAACCTAGTTTAGACAACTCCACAACAGAAAGAAAAGCTACTTTAAGGCATAAAATCCCACACGCCTCAGGGTTGCCAAGGAAGGGGAAATTGCTTTCTTTTGTGTAAAGGATCCATCAATTTGGGGTTGCATTGTGGGTGCCTTCAGATGATTCCAGATGTCCTTGATATCAAGGCAAGGCATATAAGCTACAATTTCACATTATAGCAATTGCCACTGAAATCTTTCCAGCCATTCACTTTGGAATAATGAAGAAGACTAGCATCTTGATTGATGTCTCATCACCAGCTAACTGTAGCAATGCTTTTTCAAGCAAACAGTATCATCACACTGGAAGTTGGACTTACACATACAGAAACACACACACACACACACACACACACACACCTTCAGTGCAATGTCTGATGTAAAGAGTAGCAAACAGAATATGGGTTGTAGCAGTGAGCAGAAGGAAATGTACCAAGGTAATCTACATCAACTTTAAAAGCACTAGGAAACACATATGGAAGTTGAAAAAAGATTTTGCACCACAATACGCTTTTTCAGGATGCCAGCCAACTTCACACACTTCCCATCCACTTTCAGACTCCACCCCTTTTTTTGCCAATCATCACCCTTTAACGCTTTATAAGCATGGTGTTAACTGACTGTGGGTACCGAATTTGGTAGTTTTTTTATTCCACGGTTCTAAAACTATCTGGTACCAGTAAGGGAAACACTAAGGCTGGCAGCTCTATGGCAGGTCTTCTGGCCTACAACATTTCATTGAAGTTGGGTACAATGCCGATAATGCAACCAAGGTGTTTGAAGAAATCAGATGTCAACTGTTACGAGTTTCTTTCCCTGGTAAATTTATGCAAGGTCATTAAAATATAGATTTTTTAAAAGTCTGGTCATCAAAACCATCCCCCCACCCCTACCCTTGAGTTTATCCAGTAGCCCTTCAAAACAAGTTTTAGTACACCAAGGAATATTGACAATTCCATGAGTCACCCCTAGTCCTTCCAGTAATTCAAAACATGTTTTGGTTTCACATCTGAAAACAATCTCTAGTGAAGATTTCTTGAACATGGACGTTGTCTCTAATGTTTGTGGGGGGGAATCTGGACAGAGAAGCTTGCCCCCACCCCCACATCCCCAAGGATTACCATTAGGCTTTTGGCAAAGTAATTCAGCATAGGAGGTATGAAGCTGGAACTCCAAAGAGCAACAAAAGTTGAAAATCTAGTATCATCTCCCATCCGATATTGGGAGTTTCACATGATCTTCCAAATCTTCCTGATCTGGCAACTTTCTGAAATTCCAAAAGCTTCGTTATTACTACCGTATTAATCTTGGAGGCTGAGAATTCTGGTGTAGGTATTTGGAGAGTACAAGCTAGGAAAAAAACTTCATTTTGAAATATACTTGGTATATTCCAGTTTTAACAATGAAAGCACCATATTCTTTATGATCCGTTTCCTAAAACCTATTTATATTTTTATCACCTGTAAGCAATTAACATACCAAAGCTAGATCTTCTACAAATAGGAAAAGTGGAAATTCACTTTCCAATTGTTGTCTATGGTCACACAAAAGGACTTATTGTACAAGTCCACGGGTAGCATATCAACTGCTGCAAACCTCCAATTGCTCTTTGAAAGGATACTCAATCATTATTTTGACAACTTTGGGGAAATTACCTGGCGACTCCATAAACTTCCCTGGAGGAAAATACTTAATATTTGAGTGTCATGTAACGTTGATAACCAAAGTTTGTGAATTTTGATTTTCAATTCAGCTTGATTACTATCTTTGAACAATGATTCATCAAAGAATATTAAATTGGTTACATTATTTATGTCAATGATTGTACAGTATTTCAGCTCCCTCTGCTGATAGCTTCCGGATATGAAGATTAAAAAAATTCTTCAAATAAATTATCTGGTTCCAAGGTCCAGGAATGCATCAGCATAGTCACTTTGGATCTGATCAGTTTCCATAAATTAGTCACTATCTCCAGTGCTCTATTTTTGGATATTTTTGCATGTTTTTAATGCTAACATCAATTATATGAGAGGTTCAAGAGTTGGTTTCTTTCAATACAGGGAATTTAAATACTAACTTGGTGTATTTCATCACTCATGAGTATATAAAAGGAAAAACCCAGGGTGAATTAGTTACCATAGTCAAACACTTGAAGTCTACCTAGATATTTGATTATCAAAAGGAATAATAATCCCCTACAATATTAAAACACTCCAATATATTTTTTTATCAAGTAATCTTACAAACTGCTTATATTTATGAAAGTCACGTTTTCTTGCACTGGTTGATGCCAAAGCATCAGAAGATTCATTTATTTGACAGTCAGCCCATAGTTCAATTTTAAAACTGAAAGCAGAGCCCATGTTTATTAATTGCTAATCATTAAGTGATCTGCAAAACATATCAATGGTTGTTTCAAACATTTGCTGGAATTTTTGATCTATGGTTTGTTGATTACAATGTAATGGATCGGTTTGCACATTACACACTAAGCCATAAAGGATACGTCTACATTCCACATTAAGCCAAAAACATAATCTTATGTTTTAGTGCAGTGTGTGAACCATGGCTCCATTTTCCATATAATTAACTGCAACAAGTTTTTTTTTGTTGTTCTTATGAATCCTACTCAATTTATATATATTTATATGAAAATTCTGTATCAAAGAAATTAGCTCTAACCATAATTTAACTCAAAAGTAACTATTTTCCAAGGTGAAGCTCCTCTATAGCGATCCTAATGATAGAAAGCAGAGGGAATGAATGGCTGAGAGAGACAGGAGAAGAGCTGCTACCAAGTCAATGGTCAAATAGGAGAGGCCTGATCTACTTCGAAGAGCTGACAAGTTCATGTTTAACAATACATAAGGAACTATGTTACATTAGTAAGGTAAAAAGTAGGTCAGCATCAGAAAAAAAAGTAAGACCATCCCCAGCTAGTCTGTTCAAATCCAAGAATTAGCAGGGGAAGGGCCCACAAAAATGAAACACTTGATTACATTTAAGAATTTAAATCATTTTATTGCTTTACCTGCCATTAGAACAATCTATAACAAAAGGAATATATTAGCACATACAATGTCAGACTTATAGTCAGGTAACAATACAAAAATGGTCCTCTGGTTTACTATAGCACTCTAGGGCAGTAGATTTTTTTAAAATTTGCTAAGGTGACCTAGCAAAACAGATTATCTTCTAAAGCCCTGAATGTTAGCTAAGGCAAACTATACCAACTGTGGATTCAAACATATTTAAATTGCACACAAAGGTAAAGCTTTAACTGTGATTAATATTTAACTCAGACGTAGCTGGTTCATCTTAAAATCCTGTTGGTAAAACTACAAAAGGGAGTAAACAGCAAGCTAAAAAGACGCAGTAGTGAAACTTGATTAGAAAGCCTTATATAAAAAAATGTGCATTTTTAGCGCTTACATAACATTTAAAATCTTTTTGGTGCTTCAACAAGGATCAAATCAAGCTTCAAAAATAACAAAAGGTATAAGGAAAAATAATCCCTGTAGATTTGAACTGAATAGAATTTAGAGAAAAAGTAACATGGATCTCTGAAGAATGCAGGTGGATATCCTTACCTTACCAAGGTGGTTAGGATTAGCAGAAGGAACTAACAATGTATATTTTACATTTAATCCAAATCCAGATACGCGGACGTATAAACGGCTGCCCACAGATTTTTTTCAAAAAATATGTTAAGGTTCCTATTTCTCCAACTGCGAAGTATGATTAGCAAATGTTCTTCCAACAGCCAGCAAGTCAGAAAGGTGTATACTAGGTCCAATTGTCTGAGGGGAGGGGCTGCTAACCGGGGCAAGTAAGATTTGTTAAGAAATAGTTGCATAAACAATGCAAAACACTTGCTGCCACTCCCATATAAAGCTCTACAGTAGTTTTAGATCATTTAGGTTACAAATAAACTGACTTGCTTACATTCTCCAACTGTGAAATTCAATAAAGCTAGTGGATAGCACCGAGTGCCACACAGAATATTGTTAACACAAACCTGGTAAATACTGAAACACACTTCTGACTTGACAACAGGATTAACTTTCCAAAACTAGTTATTCCACTAGATCAATGAGAATGTGAGGCCAAACAAACTAGAGCATGTGTTTCCTTCCAGCTAAATATTTTAGGAGCTTGACAGGAAATAGGCATTGATTCTTCTGCTTCCTGTCTTTCATTTTAGCCAGAGTCCTATCATCTTCCTAAATTAGACTGTATATTCCATCCTGCATTGACCACCAGTTACATAAATAGCATCACTGAACTATCTGGTTCCAAAGTTAACAGGGAAGGCAAAGCTTGGAAAGGGCAGGCATAAGACTGCATACATAAGAATGCACCCTTCAGCTTCCTGTTCTAGATAGTGTGGATGGGGTGTTACAACTCACACTAGCTGAGGAGCAGTACACTAGTGTAAATACCTACACCTATATTCAGGGGTTTAGCACATCGGTTGCCCTTTGAGTAAAATCAGGAGAGGCATATATTATAAATATTCACATCTGAGAACAGGCAAAACTTTTTGCTGTGCCAAAGATAGCAACACTTGGCAATAGTTGCCAAAACAAAAGCTTGTATACAAAAACCTGACAAACAATAACCAAGCCATCTTGAAATGGATACAGATGCACAAAACTATCAAACTTCTAACTCTGGTTTTACTAGAAGCTGATCTCAGTGAACTTAACCAAACATCACCCATATCCAGAACATTTTGCCAAGAGGTTGAGCTGAGAAGTTTCTCAGTCTGAGAAAAGTACAGTAGAAAGTGATCACAATCTAAAAGGAACATGGGACTCCCTGTGGAGAATGCATGTTTAGAATTTCCCACTGTTACATCCTTAACTCTACTGCAATCACCTCGGTGCTCAGGAATTGTTCCCAGCAAAAGGAATGGCAGTCACTGGCCATACTGGACAGTGTACATTGCACAGAGAGAAGCAGTAACAGTAAAAGTTTCCATACAATTCCCTATTTTCAATGGGGCTGGGAGCACCAAAATAATGCTCTAAAATTTAAAACAACTGCTTTCTTCCCGTCCCCACACCCACCCCACCCCACTCTCAGACAGACAGGAAGCTGCAATAGCCAGTAGCCGTGTGGCTCTGCACAAGAGTAATGAAAACAGTCTGCATTTGTGAAGCATGTATTTGAGAAGGAGGGAGACTTCAGACAGAGAGAGAGACAAAGCTGTTGTACTGCTGGATGTTCCGTTTCAGAATATCGGAGCATGGACCCAAAACACGCTCAAATCTGGGTCGATCAAGCTTTACACATTTTAAGGGGCCACGAGCAACAACAGTGGCAGCACGAGGACGATTCATTAATAGAGCTATTTCGCCTATAAGGAAAAAAAAAACAATTTATTACAAATGGACCAATTAATGGAAAACTGGTATGTACTGAACAATGCTCTCTTTCATTATCAGACTATATCAAACTATAATAATTCCTGAACTGCTGCAGCTACTTTTACTCTCTTTAGTTTCCTGTTAATGGGGCTTAGACAATTATGGATAGCCCACCCTTTCTTCACTTATCTCCTTAACAGGAAATATTTGCAAATGATTGTTGTGAAATTTCATCAACATAATACTGTGTTTCCACAAAAATAAGACAGCATCTTATTTTCTTTTGATCCCCTGAAATAAGCACTTGACCTTATTTTTGGGAAGGTCTTATTATTTTTGAGGTGTAGGAGGTGGCGAGTATGATCACCTCATGGCTGCTGCTGTGTTGCAATATTTTTGGGGAGGGCTTATGTTAGTGCATGCGCTCAAAAGCCCAATTGGGCTTATTATCCAGGGAGGTCTTATTTTCAGGGAACTAGGTACATCATGCATTGTTGGCTTGTATGCCAACCTAGAGGTGGGCACCCTAAGGTGCTAAGGATATATGAAATTTTCAAACCTGATTTTTGAAGATCTACATTGTAAGTAAAATTTGTTAATAATGAAGAGAATCCTTTTCACTCCATTTATTTCCCTTAGGAGAATCACCAATTATTATTCGATGCAATTTTGCTTCACAGACTCAAAATTTGAGGAAGGATTCACTTGTTTCCAAATATTAGTGAATGTAGAGACTTTTTCAAGTTCAAATGGTTAAAAATGTTCTTTTACAGTGTTGGGAAATGGTGTTTTAAAATAAAAAAATATTTTCAGAATTCCCAATAGATATTAAATCTACTTTTAGATTTATTTCTAATGATCCACAATTGACTTAACACCACTTGTGGTTGCAGGTTTTGTACCTGTTACTCATTGTTAGTGCCGCATGTATTAGAATATGTATTTAAGAAAATGATACAATTCTATATAGGATTGATGGAAAAGTCAATCTTCTCATATTAATTTCAGTTAGGAAAAATAAAGTTATGCTAACTACAGTTAACATAGGGCAGGAGACTTTGCATACCAAGTGGCTTGCTATTAATATAATTGGGCTTTGAGGAGTTAGCACAAAACAGTGTGAAGAAGTTAATTGCCTCATTCTAATCCCCTCAGAGAACAGAGAAAACCATTTTCTCACATTTATGGAAATGTTCCATAATACTGTGGAAATATATTTAAAGGGATAACTACAATATTCTTTCTTCACATAATATGACATAGTTTTAACTCCACACCCTATTCCAAAGATCATGATGACAGATAATAAATTATCTAGATAGGGGACTTTTATTTCAATCAA